ATATACATATACATATATATATATATATGTATATACATATACATATACATGTACATATATACTGTACATATATATGCACATACATATATATATAGATATGTACATATATATATATATGTGTAGATAGATAGATAGATAGATAGATAGATAGATAGATTATTAAAAATATTAATAATAATGAAATGTATATGTGTCTGCTGTCATATCTTCACCCAGCCTGCAGGATGAGCTTCAAAAACATGAGGGAGTACTTGGCCTGGCTCTACTACCAGTACCTGCTCATCACTGGCATCTATGTCCTGGAACCGTGGGAAAAGTCCATCTTTAACTCTGTTTTTTTCTCCGCCATCGCCATGGTAATCTACACCTCATACGTCTTTGTACCCATCCATGTGCGTCTGGCGCTGGAGTTTTTCTCTGGGATCTTTGGTGGCCAACCTGAGAGCACTGTGGCACTTATGAACTGAGACAAAAAAGAAAAATGGACAAAGAGACATGTGAGCATCATTTCCTGTAGCTCAGTTCTTTAGCTTTCCTTGAGAACCACTTTCAGATCCATTCACCAAGTCTGAAAGCATGAAGATTTCACTGAAATTGTCTGTAAATCAGAGCCTTGCTCACTTCTTTTACATCCTACAACCTCTGGCCTTACCCTTTAGTATTACAGTACGGTACTTCAATTTCACACCCTGACTGAAATATTTGTAAATGACCTGCATGAGTGCATACCTCCTCCAGGTTTTGCATGTTAGGGTCATACATGAGTGTTGGACGAGCATGCTTCTCACTACAAAGTAGATTCTTTCCTCCATGTGCTTAGACTACAAACTTTAGAGAGTCCTTGCAGCCTTTCACATTTTATAAAAGCTGGAGATTGTAAGAAGCAATGATGAAAGCAGAAAGCTTTGAGGATTTTTTTTTATCCAGTTGTTTTTGAAGAATATTTTTATAGAGCACTATGATTTTCTGAAACTGAAATGTCGTACATTTAATGTTTGAAGCAATATGTTATGTGATATTTTTTTAACTCGTCAATTTACAAACACAAGTGTGGCCAAATCCCATTTCTTAGACACACGTTTACCCCTTGGCCCTTTGTTCAAAATTGATAAATGTAGCAGTTAACACATACAGCCACAAACTGGGATATCATTTGATCTGTGTCAGCAAAATGAGTCAGAATGCACTCAGGATTTCATAAGTGAAATTAATGATTTTCTTTGCCAAAGTTGAGATTTGCATAAAAATGAGTTCATAAAGGCTCAATCTGGATATTCTAGTACCAAAATAGCAAAAAATTGTCCTAATATACTTTTATATTGAAGTTTTTTTACAGACATGTCTTCAGAAACAATCAATTGTCTTAAACCTTTTATAATTTCCTTTTAAATTGACCATTTTCAGTACCGGCTGTCTTAGTCTTGGAAAATCCTTTCGTATAACATTTAGCATCTTTGTAAAGCTTAAGGATTCTTCTTTTTAAATATAAGGCTGGAATTCTTGATATCATTCTTGTAGGCAAATAAAAATCACATTTTCCAACCAGCATGCTCATAAATAAAATTAGCTTGTTGCCAGGTGATCATCAAATTTCAACAAACTTGACCATTTTGAAGCTTTTGAGATGGATAATTTAAAAATAATAACTCAATATAATATAACAGGTCTCTCTTGTAAATGAGTCTTCGAAGCTCAATGGGAACTAACCTGTTTAACTAAAGGTCTAATAATAATTAATATGAAAAAATATTTCCCATTGTGACTCATTTTGTAGCACAGGTCACATTTGAATAAGTCGATACGCCATCAATTGTTGCCAATTTATATGAAATAAAAATATACAATAAGTCCACTTAAGTTATCCAGCCTGCATTAGACACCACATGTTATTAAATATGTTTGTTAGCAATCAATGACAATAATACTACATGTATTGGAAATCTCTAAACTAGATGCTGCAGTGCTTATTAACACAATAAAATATAATATTTGAGAAATGTGGAACTCATCACATCAAATCAAACATTAAGTCGTATTTGTTCAAACTAAATTAGGCACATTTTCATATTCCTGGTGTTTTAGGCTTCATTGTGATGTCTAGACAATATCATGAGCAGTTCAGAGATATGGCTTAATTTGTCTTGACCAGTACATAAATTACAAATTTTGTACAATTTTGTCAGAGCTTGTTTTCTCCAATCTCTGGTAATAAAGTTTTACTGTTTGCAAGGCAAGATCTAGGCATCAAAAAGCAGCTTAAAATGCCATGAGTCTGAAAATGGGATTAGTGGAATTGATCCAATTTCATTTAACTCTGATTTAATGTTGCAGGTCCGATATGATGCTCACCATATTAATTCTTGTTGAGCATAATTTACAATAACACCAGCTGTAATTTACTCATACACAAACAGCAAAACAGAAGTTTTATTCTGACGGTAAAAACAATAACATGGACACATTTGTGATTTTTTTGTTGAAGTGCAGCCTCATACCTTTTCATTTCAAAGTACATCCTGCAAAAATGTGCTTATTGATGGGTTAAAAAACCCTGTCTTTTATAATTTACATCACCGACAAACTCGCGACACACTTCTCTCCCCAGAGTGATCGCATAAAACATTGGAGTAGGGCTCAGGTGAAACGTGATTTGGCCTAATCATCTGAAGATAGGCAGCAACGAGTCCAAGTATAAAAGAGCAGATGATATATCTCACCTGCACAGGATAGCAGTGAGTGTGAAGTCCTTTAAAGTGTGTGTGCATTTGCACATTCTGCTGTACCTGCCGTGATCTTACTCACGACGAATGGCTCTTTACTAAAACTCAAGCTTTTCACTACATTCTGAAATGCAGCTAACATTAGAAGTTTAGTATGTAAAAATTCAACACCTGTTTTTTTTTACATTGTCTTTAAGCACTATTGTAGAGTTCAATGCAATAAATGATGCAACTGATGTTGAAAGAGAAAGCCATCAGAAAACTATGCAATGGTTTTTTAAATGCCATAAGACTCATTAGAGTGTTTGTTCCATTTCACTGGTCGTACAAAAGCACAGAATTATTGCACAGATAAAAGCAGAACCCTCTCTTTATCTGCCATTTTTAACCTGCTGGTATGTTGGAAAATGAGCGCTCAGGACAAAGAATGAGTAAATGTTGACATAACACACCTTTATGTTCAGGCTTGGCTTTGTTAATAACATACTGTAGCTTTACTCTGCACGTGTTTGCTGTCTCACGCAGAATATCACATTTCTGCTGGAAAACTGGTCAAAGTGAAAAGTGAGACACTGGACTGAAGAAACCATCTGCCCCTACTATAGCTGATCTATAGAGAAGATTTCATTTTAAATTCAGTTTCATTTCAATTCATTTTGTTTATATAGCGCCAAATCACAACAGAAGTCGTCTCAGGGCACTGGACAGAACGTTCACATCCATATAAAGCCAGTTAATAATATGTATTTAAGGATCACTTCATCACATTCTCCCATCCTAAGCAAGCACAGAGGGAACAGTGGAAAGGAAAAACTCCCTCATGAGGAAGAAACCTCCATGAACCAAGCTCAACCTGGTTTATCTTGGAGAGATAGCCTGCTAACTTATAAAAAAGCTCTCCGTAAAGCTAGAACTGTATATTACTCATCTTTAATAGAAGAATATTTTAGTGAGTTCAGTAGCTGTAACATACATTATGCATAGTTTTGTTCTTAAAATCATCTTGAATTATTCATATTTTGGATCAAGGGTTTCACTTATTACACATAAAGCATGATCTCTACGTTAAATTTATTTATATGAAGTTGTGTATTTATATGTCCTGGTAAATGCTTGGCTGGTTACAATGTCAATTACCAAACTTTTTTTTTAAATTGTTATTATTTATGTATATCGCTTGTGGCCATAAATAACATGTATTTGTTCTTTTGTTTGTGTCTCTGCCTCAAAGTGATTTTTTTTTATATATTGTACACAGATTTTTTAAATGTACAAACACTTTTTGATAAAAAAAAAAAAAATTTAGTAACATGTTTCCAATATGAAAGAGCTTTTATCCCCCACTAAATTAAACATCTTGTTCATACATGATAGCAACATGTTTCATTCATCAAAGAATAAAGAAATCTGTTAATCCTTGGGCAACAGTTTTCTGTTTTATTATCACCTGCCATCATGAAAGGTGGGCAGTTACGTGGCTGATTTAAGTGTTTGTCTGTCTGTTAACAAAATATCAACCTACTTATGAGCTTTTAATGATACGGTCAGAAAGTTTTCACTGGGCGTACATCATTAACGTTTGGTGTTCAAGATGGGTGCTACAGCTAATCAACCTTAAAATGACTTACAGTGCAGTCTGTTTTACAGATCTAGAGCTAAAAATTTGGTATGGTAGTAGCTGAAAGTCATGTCCAACATTTATTCAGAGCATTAACAACCAGAATCTTTGTTAAAACGTTGGTGTTTTCTTACAACTACTTGTATTTGACATGCTATATTTAGCTTAGCGAAGGATATTTGTTCAGTCTGGCAGGTCAGTTGCTTTGAAATTGAAAAACAAAAGCTTTGAGATTCCACATCTATGACAAAAAAAAAGAAGACTACCACATGAAATGAATTTACACAATAAGAAGAGCCAACAAACCAGTTCTCCTGATGCGATCTCAGGGGTTTTGTTTACCCTGCATGCACCTGGTAACCTCCCATTCCTACAAAACCCTGTTGACTCAAGGCCGATCACTCTTTCAAAAAATAATAAAAAGACAAAGCTGTGACTTCTGTTCTGTACTTGAAGATGTTTTACTTCAACTACACAATAAAAGCCCAGTTGTGTTTGCTTTTTATTTAGTAAATTATTTTTGGATTTGCTCAGCCCTGCATGACTGAGAACCTCCACCAGCATAGCACTTTCTTTGTTCAGTCAAGTGTAATGCAACCGTGTTCCTGTAGAACATGGTTAGACAAATGGGTTGGAGATGTGTAGTGAATAATATCTTGCAGTTATACACCCTGACCTGGAAGGTGGATAAAGTAGCAGATTAAGATGCAGATTGAGGACTGACAGGACAGCTGCGCTTGTGTCGTAACTCAACACTTCTACCTTGTACTTTTCCAGGTTGTTGGAAGACAATAGGGGCAACACCCTCGGTTGTGGACTCAACACACTCAAGCATGTCCCCAAATTCTGTTAGAGTCCACTTTTTCTTTATTTTGTCCTTGACTCTTTATTTCTCTTGTATTTAACTCTTTCCTCCTCTTCTCTGAAATAAAAAGGCAATTTATTTTTTGTATTTTTCCATACCTCCTTCTTCTTCGTTATGGGATTTGTTTTTATCAGGGTGTTTGAGGTCCATTGACCCTGCTCACGTCAGGGTCAGACCCATGAAGGAAGCAGGGATGCCAACAAATTACCGGTACTCTACATTGGTCAGAGCGTTATTCTTTTGATTTTTTTATTTCACAACTATTTAGGATCATCAGAACCT